CTCGTTAGGTACTCATTCATGCTTATTTCGTCAAGTCTTTTTGGTCAAAGCTAATTCTTCAATCATCAAGGCAATATGGAGCCATGTGTACTCACAGTTTCGCCTTTTCAGCTTTTGCCAAACTTCTGCAGCTGTGGTCAGATGTGCTATCGACGGTACATATTTATCTTCTATACTCTCGCTAATAAAGTTAAGTGCTTCAAGATTTGTTTGAATCTGACCTGGTGTCCAATCCTCTTCTACTCCATCATATCCAGGCTCCATGGCTTCCCATTGCTTCCTCTTTCTTAGGGTTAGCGTTACTCGATGTTTCCAGATTGTGTAGTTATCGTCTTATTTACTTCCTTTCTTCAAAATCCTATGCAGCACGTGGGACCGAGAAATGGCCGTCTTTGCCGTTTAGGTCCGTATCTTCACTTATCCTATTGTCTTCACTCATCTTCTGAGTCTCCAATCCGTTTTATCGATGTCCGGCGCAGTGCTTGAAGACTCTGGGCCCATAACCTGTTATTTGATTTGTGGAATCACATTGTATCATCGAGGTAAAAACGGATAAGAAATTAAACGCCTTCGTCCAAATCTAACGTTTACTGGAGACTAACTTCATTCACAAACATTACAAGATACCAAAGGTACATTAACAAAAGAAGTAGCAGTGGGTGTGGTACCAACTTATGAACAATATATATCACATGATAAATATGGCCAACACTACAACTATAGTACTACAACAGACCACGTTTTTCTATTGCTTCTGTAACTGAATCAGATTTATTTTCAAAATCAGTATTATTGGATGTGGCCCACCTGTCATGACCTAAGATGTTGGTGGGTCAACTGAATTACGCTGGCCAAGCGGTAGCGTAATAATTCAGTGATGATGATTTGTCAGTTGGCTGCCTGAGCGTGTATTCCAACCACAAAGAGCAAGTACTCACTACAGAATATAGAGGATTTATTGAACTGTGTGTATATTACATGCAAGCGCTGGCGGACGTAAGCCTGGCCAGCGTTCTCCTAGCAACAACCCAGACAAAAATGCACCCTTCAACTCTTCTCTTGTTCTTAAAAACTAATCTAAACTAAAGTTGCAGCCCAGTCTCTCGAGACATGAACCCATCACAAATATCAAGTTACACCAGTGTGAGTTGAAGGATGGGTCCCAGACGAAATACTCCAGGACTCCACTGATTTATGAAAATGGCAGGGGTAGATATAACATTTTGAAGTGGAAGCAGGTCAACCTTTTGACATGCTATAGATTATAGTAGAGGACATGACCCCAGACATCAGACTCAGGGTTCCTAAAACTACAAAGGTGGTACAACCCTTTGCGACATACCTGCTTTGCCAGGGACTTTCTCCTCAACTGTAGCGAACTCTGCACCAGCATTGTCCATATCCATATACAGTCAACTCTCGATTAACGGGGGGCGGCTTAACCGGGGCTACTGAGGCTTTTTTGAGGCTTATATGTTGTTCAATATTCATTCACTTTTGTTTGACATGGTGAGTTGTAACATTATTTTCGTACTAGTGTGAACCGAGCTCTGCATTCTTTGGTCCCGTTATGCTAACATAGTGTTCTAGGGTAGGGTGAAAGAGTGCAAGGATTTGTGGAAAGTTTCAAGGACAGATACACCGCCCCAGTTGGTCTCTTTGTATCAATCTTCAAGTGCCTTAGCAAAATGTCATGGTGTAAAAGGAAGCGTGTTGTGTTAAGTATTCAACAGAAAAAGGAAAATGCCGCGAAAAAGTAAACGACAATATTAAATTTTTTAAGTGTTAAGTGTAAATATTCGTAAAAGGTGTTGGATGTTGTTGAAGACTGTGATTGAAATAACTAATTCATACTTCAGTGTAATGTAAAAAAATGTATTAAATAGGCCATGAGATGACATAAAAGTGAGGTTGAATAAATTTAAATACAGGTAGGCCTATAGTATTATGAAGGTACAGTATTACAGTACTACTTTTAATAAAATTTGTCTTAACTGGATTTTCGATTAATCGTGATTTCCATCCCCACCATTATCCCGGATAATCGAGAGTTGACTGTATATTCTTGGGAGGAACGATGAAGGTGCAGGAGGCAACCTCCTTGTGGGACGTGACTTCGACAGCAGACAGTGCTTTCTTTTAATTCGGGGCAGTGTCGTTGATGCTGTGCCACTTGCGCCAGGGTACTCCTTTGAAACCATCCTCCTGAGTGGTAGCGGACTAGGATGATTCAGACTGGCCTGCTGTGCTGCTCGCCTTCATCACGGCCTTTTAACTCCTGCAAGGCGACTGTATATGTGCTGTACAGGGCACTAAAAAGGGGCTTTGCAGCAGTTCTGCCTATTTTCCTTAGCAGCGCAGCCAAAACAAATTAACATCAACCAACACCAGCATCAGGCGAACATATCTGCAGATGTGATGTGTTTAGTTGCATATTTATATGCCATGGTTGTGAAGAGTGGGGAGAGGTGGGGTAGCATGTAGTGTTATTTTATGTAAATTTTATATAATTCTTCAAATATAGGATTGTGTGAAACATATGTTAAAATGTAAGTTGAAGAAAAAGGAACAATTAGTTGCATTATTGACGGACTTTGTTATATGTACATAAATGTGTTAATATGGGTTGCAACAAGATGCTTAAATACAGAAGAGTCGGACTAATTTCCACACTCTGTAAATCACTATAACTACACAACACACACAAAGTTCTTTGATTTCTTAAATTGTGTTCCCTAGTCATTGCAAGGTAGCAGATGTTGAAATGGAGATTCTTCACAGCCAGTAATGATCTGCCACTTCTCACCTTCAACTCAAGACAAAAGTGAAAGTTTTGTTACAACTGACAGTCAGTCGGCCAGTCTCACTTGTCAAGCCCTGTCTGAAGACCAAGAAAAGAAATTTGTTATTGACATACCATTAGGGGTTTTATAATGTGGAGTGCCCACTCTGGAGAGAGCAGAGGTATACCCATTACAATTGGTGATGGCTCTCGCCAACGCATTCATTCTCGGATCCAAGTCCCGCAGGACTCTCTCACTCATGGAGCTGAGCCACTCTTCAGAAGCCGCCAATTGTGCAGCTACTCAAGAACATCCCAGGATTTTATGGGACCCAAAAGTTCATTACCATGTCCATAAGAGCCCTCCACTGATTCCTATCCTGAGCCAGATGAATCCAATCTATCCCATCCTATCTCTAACATCAATTTTAATATTGTGAACCCAACTATGCCTCCATCTTCCCAATGGACTCTTTCCATCTGGCCTTCCTGCCAATATCCTATATGCATTCCTCCTCTCCATTGTGCTACATGCCCTGGCCAACTCCTTTACTTCATCATTCTAATTATACTTGGAGAAGAGTAAAAGTTATGAAGTTCCTCATTATGCACTTTTCTCCAACCTCCTGTCACTTCATCTCTCTTCGGTCCAAATATTCTCAATACCCTGTTCTCAAACACCCTTTTTTTTATTGCTGGTGGGGTGAAACTAAGTCCCTTGTACTGTGGCCACTTCTTGTCTATTGTGCCAGCCCCAGATGATAGGTGAGGGTGATTGTGGAGCAGTTGGTGGAATGAAGATTGGCAGAGGAAACCAAAGTACTCTGAGAAAACCTGCCCCAGCGCCACTTTGTCCACCACAAATCCTACTTGACGAGACCCGGGATCGAACATGGGCCACCGCGGTGGGAAGCCAGTGACTAACTGCTTGAGCTATGGCGCGGCCCTTCAAATAGCCTTAGTCTATGTTCTTCCCTTAATGTCAGAGACCAAGTTTCGCACCCATTCAGAACCAGAGGCAAAATTATAGTTTTGTGTATTCAGATTTTTATGTTTTAGACAGCAGATGAGAAATTTCTGGACTGAATTGTAGCAAGCATTACCCAAGAATCAGGTTTCAATTTGTTTCATTGTTCTCAAATATCGGAACTGTGCCACATTTTCAAAACATCTGTTACGTATCTGTATGTCCTGTATTTTGGTGATGAGTCCCGCAGGACTCATGACCGTATTTTAGGGCAGGTACAGACTAGCGAGCTGTTGCATGTAACGTAACGGTTACTGCAACCATGCCTTCATATAGACGACACGTCCATAGTTGTCATGTAACCAGCTGAGAGCGACCTGATCCATAGTGCTCGTGGTGAGCTCGCCTTGAAGACATGTCTTCATCCTTATCGCCTGAGTTAATTGCTAGTGCGTCATATATCCTCATACACCACTTAATTGGCGATGATAAACGCCCATGAAGATTCTGGCAGCATGTTCTATACAAAGAAAGAAGCGGTCCTGCTTTACTTTTGGATTTGAAATCGCAAACAATTAGTGGTCATTACAAGAATTTCACCCGCCTGAATCCAACGGACTTCGAATATTTGATTAATCTTGTTGGACCTAGGATCCAGAAAAGGAACACTAAGTTCAGAGAGGCGATTTCGGTGCAAGATCGATTAGCTGTGACATTGAGATACTTGGCGACTGGGGACTCTTTTTACAAGTTTACAGTATCTATTCTGTATATCCAAGCAAAGTATTGGCTGTATTGTTGCAGACGTATGTGGAGCCATAATCGATGGATTAAAAGAACACATAAAGGTATGTATCAGTTGTACTTATTGTGTCATTTATCATCCATACATGTCGTTTACACAAAAGAATCAAATCATGTCAAACCAGTTCGGTAATATGCCACTTGGATTACATGTCACTTTGTGTGTCGCTTGTAGGGGACAGACTGTCACGTAGGGATTGATTCACATGTGGTGACAGCTCACCACATGTGATGGTGACCAGGTTGCATTTCCAAACGATGAGCACAGTGATGGGGCATGTGTCTGTGGGTAACAATTAGTAGTACCAGTACTTGTGGAAGGTGCACCAGAAAAGTACCCATACTGCCGTGGATCATCATAGAAGCCTTGATCAGCTCGAAAAATAATCTGGAAAATGTCTCCCTGTATTAAATTCCTTGTTTGAGTGCTATAATTTTTCATCTTGGCTAGTATGAAGTCCAAAAACAACCTCAGTTCAGGATTGTCATCAGCTGACTGGGGCAGAGGCAGTCTATTTGCTGCTGCTTGTAATATCCCGAATGCTTCTTTCAACAGCTGGAGTTTTGGATCTCTTTTTAACTTTTTAGGCGCTGGTTCATGCTGCGTTGGAATAGCTATGTTATCCTCTTCACTTGTTTGTGATACGTTACCATCCTCCTAAAAAGAACTGTGTTAGGAAAGTTGTTAAGCAAGTGGCTAATAACATTAGCCTAAAGGCCCTGTCCGGTTAAAATTCATGTTCCCTTAATTATTCAGACCGTTTTCCAACAATAACAGTAAATCACGTCCGACTCTTAACGTGAATGCAGCACATCCTATCCAAAACATGTTGTTTAAAACTCATTATTATATAGAGTATGTATTATTTTTAATTATTTGATTTTAATTTCAGATGCCAGAAGAACAAGAAAAATGGATGAACATCAGCAACGACTTCATGGATCTCTGGAATTTTCCACATGTCGTTGGAGCATTGGATGGCAAACACATCGTCATGCAGAGCCCATTCAACAGTGGATCAGAGTTTTACAATTACCAATTGCAATTTAATATCGTATTACTCACTTTGGTGGACGCTAAATATAACTTCATCTACGCAGACATTGGTGCTCAAGGAAGAATTGCAGATGGTGGTGTTTTCAAAGCCAGTAGCCTCCACGAAAAGATCGAAGGGAAACATTTGCAACTACCAGAACCTGAAACCATCCAAAACAAGGAAATTCCATACTTTTTTCTTGGTGACGGTGCATTTCCTTTGAGTGAAACCATGATGAAGCCATATGCAGGAATATATACTAAAGGTTCTAAAGAGAGAGTTTTCAACTACCACTTATCCAGAGCAAGTAGGGTAGTAGAAAACGCATTTGATCTTCTGGCTTCGGTATTCCGAGTACTACAGAAGCTTTTACAACCAGAAAAGGCTCAACGTGTTGTTATGGCCATAATCTATTTGCATAATTTTTAAGGCGCAGTTCTTCACATTCACTTTATGCCTGGGTCTGTGGATACTAAAAACAATGATGGTGGAGAGGTAATCCCTGGAACCTGGAGAAACGATCAACCTATGACATCGTGCCTACCACTACCATCGATCCCACGGCGGTCTGCAACTCACGTTGAAGAATACGATGGGAATTAGCGGACTGCTTCATGGAGGAAGGCAAACTACCATGGCAAGATCGCTATGCATAGAAAGCTGCTTACAATACTCTCAGTGGATAGTCCTTTCCGGGGCTTATCACGATCCCTCAGAAATTCCAAGGCGTTGTACGCGAACCATTTACTTCCATACAATTCATCCCTCCCTGCACAGAAAGAGAAAGAGGTACGTGAGCAGGAATGCTGTGAAGAGCGTTGTATTTTCTGCGCTACATGCATACTTAGTAGAAACTGAATGTATACTTGAGAATAAACTCATTGTCATACATAATTCTTTGAATGGTATAGAGTTGTAAATAAACACAGTACACTTACCTCTTCCAGTTTCTCTACTTTTCTTCGTTTTCATTTTCTCCCGCCTGAAAGATGCGAGCAAATTCACCATTTTCTGCTTGCAGTCGGAACCCGACGCATGCATAGCAACACCAATTTCAGCCCATGCATCGTCTCTCAGGTGTCTCTTATAATAATTTCTATCTTTTGGGTTCCTAAGTAACGGTTTGTTCCTGTAGATTTCAATTAAATTCAGGCATTTCTAATCGTCCCACTCCATAGCAATTCGCAACACTACTCCTGGTTCGGAGGAAACGTACACATTTACGAGCAAGCAAGCAAGTGTGGCGTCCACGAGCCTACTGCGAGTCCCTTTGTGTTCGCAGAAAAACCGACAAGGCAGTGGCTCGCCGGTCGTGTTACAGAGCGCGCTCGAAGTACGTTCGCGAGCGTGGTTCGGAAGGCGTCCACACTAACAGAATGTGGTTACAGTAACCGTTACGTTACATGCAACGGCTCGCTAGTCTGTACCCGCCCTTACTGTCTCAGGTTCGAGACCACCAACCTGGAGGACCAGGTCCCAATATTTATATCCCCCCAGGAACAGGATGGCGCAGTTTTAACTCCAGGCTCTTGGTGCCCTTTCTGTCATCTTCTATGACTCCCAGGGCTATGGCGGAGGTATTCGAGCCCGCCTCCTCGCGGGAATACTGGTATATCAGCTAACATGCAAGCCAAACTCAAGTCGAACTTATGTTACCACCGACGGTCAGTCGGCTAGACTCTTCTTGGTATCAAGCTAGTTCTGGAGTCCGACACAAGATACTTGTCACAGTCAGACTCAGAGCTACTTTATGACTGGTCATTTACCGCTGATCCGTTCTTCCTGGTGCTCACGAACAGAGATCATATTTTTTTCCCAGTTGAACACTTGAGCATGCTCCTTATGTAACGCCCTCTCTGACGAGAGGATGGGTTTGTCTCTCACGAGTATGCTTTGCCTTTGTCAAGTGTGCGTATCACATTTAGCATGTTATTGAAAATTCTTCGTTGCCCATTATATACAAGTCCTCTTGGCCGCGCCATAGCTCAAGCGGTTAGTTGCTGGCTTCCTACCTCGGCGGCCCAGGTTCGATCCCGGGTCTGGTCAAGTGGGATTTGTGGTGGACAAAATGGCGCTGCGGCAGGTTCTCTCCGAGTACTTGGGTTTCCCCTGCCAATCTCCATTCCACCAATTGCTCCACAATCACCCTCACCTGTCATCTGTGGCTGCTACAATAAGCCAGAGTGGCCGCAGTACATGTGAACTGCCGTAAGCTTGACCGTCACCAAGTTTATGCATCCTATACATTCTACATCTGGCACCGCCTGAGTGCTGCAGGTATGCTGTCAACATATTTATTCTCATACTTTTTTTTTAATCTTCTGCTTGTGGCCTGCACATTTCTCTATGATCGTATACTTACGGAAGGTTGAATGTTGTGTTCAAATTGCGGACCGATGTGCAGCTTGCAAATTTCAAATGGCGCGAAGAACTTGTTTTGCACGCGCTCCAAAATTAAGAGGTAGGCGTGTGCCGCTAATTAGCAGGCGGGTCAATCCTAATCAGTGCCTTACGGAATACTATTTTAACGTTAGTACTGAAATGCTCACTTTTGAATATGAAGGAGATTGTAATAAGTGTTCTGAATGCCTTGACGTCAATCGTTTCTATATGCAGTCTCCATGAAATCCTCTTATCGAAGATTACACCGAGATAATTTACATGAGAAAAGTAGATGGCCTGAATATCATCTTTACTGATTTCTATATTTCAGCGCTCACACGACATCATAGTAGCACTGATATCTCGCTGCTACTTTCTGAGAACACAGACCTCTTTGCTTTCTGTCGCATATGTAGAGGTGTCATCAGCAAAAGGACTTTTATTGACGTCAGGTGTTTCGGGTGTATTATGTATGTGCAATGTTGATGACATGATGAAATCATGCGATACCCCTGCTAAAAATTCTTGGCGTAGACATTTCTCCTTATACCGAGTAAATACAGTTGATTAGACCGATCGAAAATTTTAATTTAGATAATTTATACAGCAAGCTAATTTGCCGTGTTGTATAAAAATGTTTTCAATGTCCAAGAATATAGCAGCCATAGACATTTCTTTGGTGAAATTTAAGGTTATGTGGTCCGTAAGACCCGTTAATTCAGTTGTTCTCTGACGGTCACGGAAAACGAATTGGCTTGAATGAAGCAGGCCTTTTTTTCCAATGTGCCTTTGGACTATTTTCAGAATAACTTTTTCGAAGAGGTTTCCTGTTGTTCACAAGAGGAAATTCGGATTTGAACTTTAAGGAAACTTCGGCCCTTGCCACGTTTCAGTACAGTTATAAATTTTTCTTCCTTTCAAAGTTTTGGAAAGTAGAACAGCAGAAGGCACTGGTTAAATAAATATGTCGATTGCACCAGTAGTTATCTTGGAAGATGCCTAACGCATTCGTTTGGAATACCATCAAGACCACATGTTTTTCTCAATTCCAGTGAATTTGTTATTTTATGTATGTCACAGAGTATTACTTTTTCCCACGTGACGTGGCCTACAGCATAGAGCAGAGCCATGACTCTAGTCTACGCCCCTCCGTCATGGTTTCTGTCGAACTTTTCATGAGATGCGAACTGGTTTTCTAAACGATCCGCAATATTTTTTGGCTTTCTCGTTCGAATGACGTGTTATTTCTGAACGTCCATGAACAGCGGTTGGTGCCTTTCGTCCATCCTTTTTCTAAGCGATTTCTTAATAGGCCACAGTTCTTGAGGTGTGAAGCCACAGTTTCCTAACTTCTTTCCCAGCGTTCGAATGCTTTCTGCGGGTCATTCGTTTAATGGTTTTGGAGACCCAATTAACTGACGTGTTACCTGGTAGATCCCGGGTTATTTGCCACAGGTTCCATGACCCCCACTTCTGTTTTAGCAGACCCTCCAGAAAAGATAGATCGTTATTTAACTTCGAGAGTGTAACTTTGCTTGTTGGTTTAATTGCTGTTGGTTTTCACCAACACAGAAAATTTCGGTTTCTTTTTCCGTCGGGATCCATAATCATATATATGTTTTTGGCCCTCCCTATTATACTCGGCGTGTACCACACAGGAAAAATGGCTTCCAATATTTCGACTATTGTTGCGTGTTGATTTGCTGCTGCGGAAAGCTGTTCTTGTTAAACTATTTCGGCTTCCAACCATCATGTCACAATATTGGTATAGTGAACACTATTTTGTCCCTAATTTTGAAGTGCACGTAGTGGAAACTAAGTTGCTTGTAAGGACGGGCAGGTATTACTTCTATATGAGTGCCAGTTACACTGTTTATACTTGCATATATATATATATACTTGATAAACCCCGATGTTTTTGTTTTTTTAAATATTTAAAATGTTTTTAAGAAGTTGAACTGGAAAATATAAATAAAGAAGTAATGGATCCCTTTTGAAATTTTGACACGAAATGGAGATGCACATTTTAGCATCAGGAATTTTAGAGACAATGAATTTGTACAGCCTTTGGACACTGGATATGACTCCTCGAAAGCTGAGGTCAGCAGAACTACGGGAGATGTATGTATTAGTGGAATAATAAACCTACATATGTGAAAACAGCGAAACTGAACAATTCTCAGGAATTAGCTGCAAGTCAAACAATTGTATTGTACCACTGAGTGACTCAGGGCGATCCAGTGTTGTGCGCAAGGGGCATACACGCCCTGATACAAGTGACTAACGTTATCCAAAGATAGAACATAAAAGACGATTTCGTAACTTCCATTACAGTAAATAAGTAAAGATATCCCTGTAACAGGCTGTGGAGGACCACAGAGCTGTGAGATATTTAGGTCCTCACATTTTCCAGACAATCGGCTCATAGATGGCAGTAGGGTTGTCAGCCTTATGCTCCGGCCGCTCTTTACCCCCATGAATATTCCTGGCACTCATTTCTGTTAGAGGCTGAGTCGACCCCAGTGCCATAGTGCGGATGGAAGGATTAGGTAAATTTAAGAAAAGAACAATAGCCTCATCGGGATTCGTTCCTTCTGGCTTGTATTATAGTGCCTCAACCAACTATGCTACCGCGTGCCCCCATCCATTAGAGCATAGATCTGAAAAATAGCTAGAAATACCTGTATATTCGACGTTTCTTGGTCTACTCAGAATATTAGAATTGTGCTAGTTTCTTTGCATGTCATTTATTCTTACAACGTTATAGCTCAGCTGTATTCAATGTCTATTCTGACTAGAAACAAATGAGTATCGCGTTACAAAATACTGAAGATACATATAAAATCCATGTCAAAATGACTTCATTTGGGGAAACTATTATTGAAAACGAAATCCACCCATTATGGTAACCAATTACACATTGAAGAAGAGAGGTACTACATGCAAGACTTACTGCAAAATCTGATAAGCATTAGACAGTTTTGGCAAAACACAACTTACTGTTTAGAGGAAACAAGGGGTTATCAAGCTTAGACGATGCCAGAATTCAGCAGACCTTAAAATTTGGTGAAACTCTTGTCTAAATAAGACTCAGTGCTGCGTTAGTATTACCATCGCATAAATTAAAATGAAATTCATAACCGTTTCTTAGTTCACGAAGTAGAGAAAGGACTGTTTGAGGTAATGACAAGTAACATGAAAAAACATAAAGTGCACAATTCGGGGTTGCTAGATTAGACTACAGATACTGATCATGTGGAGTAGCTGATTATATTATTCCATATACACCTGTTGCTGTGCAACGACCATGGAAACAAAAGCTATACAGCAGCCATTACTGAGTAACTGCTTGGCAAACAAATATGGTCCCACGGCAAAAATTGGACTATAAAAATAAGCGTTCTTTCCTTTGAGGTCCGTGTCGAGGTATTATAAGCAGGGCAAGTCTAAAGTTTAGTGAGTACGAGACAGTCGCCGGCCAGTAAGGACCTGGAAACGGAAGTTGATGTTAT